TCAGTGGCTAGAACTCAAACTACTAAATCTAACACAATAAGATCCATTAAGGACGCGAAAGATTTTGATCAGCGTGTTGTACAAGCGCTCACGGTGGAACTTCGACGAGATTTGCATCTTTAGATTTTGGGCAAAATCCATGAGGACGTGTTTTCATAGGCTCGTAACTCGGTGATTTTTACAGACTGGAGCCTGATTCATGCACCATTCGGTAGCGCAGTTCCTAGTAACTTTGACTGAGAAAAGCAAGCAGGCAAGGTTGCTGACAGATACGCGAGAAGTGCGGGCCAATTTACGCACTTTCGTGATGCAGTTACAGTCACCTCACCGTATCTCACCAAAAAGACCCTGTAATCCTCAAGGACCACGATTTTCGTAAAGAGCGTGTTCGAAAACCTCTATAAGCGAAGTTTCCTTACAATTTAAGAGCATGAACATTTTGACCAAAATCCATCGGCCAGCTTCAGAGCGTAAAACGAGAAAAAATGAAATTACTTGAACATCTTGGAAAACATGCTCATAAGGGTTATCCGACCTGCTGGTTACGAAAATCACATCTGCTTAGCAAGAGAGCTTCATATTTTAGAGTTACGTTGAGAAAAATTTAGAAGGACATGATTTTTCCAGAATTCACCAGCCCTTCTAACTCCTTTGAAAAGGAGTACGCGGCTACTTTCCAGCGCTCCATAATCTACAAAAGAAGTACTATCGAAAATTTCTTTCTGAATGTACTGGGGGCAATACGCGCTGCTTCACACCTTTGCGAAGAAACGTCCGCAGAAAGTTTTGAGAATACTGAAATCGAGATATCAAGGACATTCCGCATACCGAAAGATTTGCCTTGATGAGCTGAGCACAATGCATTTTTCGGATTTAGAAAATATCCACTCCAAAGAAAGTTACGGCGAGTAGAATCTGGAAACGAGTGATTTTTCCAGAATTTACCAACGCTTTTTTCTCTTTTGAAAAGAAGCCTGCGGCAGCTTACTAGCGCACTATAATGCACAAGAAGAGCACTATCGAATGGTGCATACTGGAAGCTTTCAAGTTGGATAGGCGCTGCGTTACATACTTGCAAAGGGACCTCCTCAGAACAATTTGAGAAAACTGAAAACAAGATATAGATGACATGACGTATGTAGAAAGATTCGCCTTGACGAGATGAACACAGTGCTGCTTTCGAATTTAGAATATATCAATTCCGAAGGAAGTTATGGCGCTGCATAATTTACGATAATCGGGAATCGCGAAATTTCTGGAATTTCGCGCAATTCCCGTTCTGTGAGTGGTATTGTACATTGCACAGCACGCGCGGCATTCCGCGATATGTGCTTCTCATGCGATTTCCAACCATTTCCCTTTGTCTTCCTGCATTTTGGGACCCGTCATACTTCGCCGAGAGAAGCCCACTTTCACACATATCCATGCAGAATGAGCTGCCCACTTTCACACATATCCATGCAGAATGAGCTCTTAAACTATACCTGCCCTATTTCTGCTGTGCTCAATGGAATGTGTACGTAGCCTCTGGAATAAGCACACTGAATGGTCCATTTACACTAAAATTCCAGGAAAGAAACTTATATCCCACAACTAGGCACATCCGTATATTGGAAGATGCGCCCCGCCGAGCTGAGTTGAATGGTACTCTTATATATAGAATTCATAAATTTTGAATCAAGATAAGGTCTTTTTTTATAAAAAGTTAGGCGTTGCGCGACAAAGTTAGGTGACTTTTGCCGCTTTTCCGCCGACTTTTGTCGCGCGACGCGGCAAAAGTCACCTAACTTCGGCGGCGCCGCGTAAGTTAAGTGCCGCCGCCATTTTTTTTCGCAAATTACGGGTGGTATTGTACAACTGCAAACCAAATTTTCTGCGAAGTTTGGTTATGAAGTTATCGGGATTGACTGCAGGCATACGTGCTGAAATTTTGAACACAATCGTAGGGAGGAAAAATAGAAAGATGACTTCAGCGAGGCTGTGAGTGTGTCTTTATCAGCCGTGTTAAAATAGATTCTTATATAAAAGGCATAAGAAGAGAAATTACTCTAAATCCAGTGAATGCTGCACTTTTGCATTGAATTTACTTTTACATTTGAAATTTATTTCAGAGACGTAGTGGCCTTGGCACGCATTTGAAGTACACAAATTTTTTTCGCCTTTCTTGACAGAATAGTTTTTTGAGTGCAGCTGTCATAGCGATGGTAATGCAAAGCCTGCTCTACATTCTGGATATAGAATTGTATCAGAATGTTTCAAATACTTCAAGTTACGAGATAGACTTTGAATCTTGAAAAAATATTTGTGCCTTTGAAAAGTAGTACCCTAAAATCACGCTATAGGACGCGGGGGATTTTTGTTTTAAAAACAAACAGCACGCCGAAGGACTTCGCGACACAAATATTTACAGTGCTCCATAGTGTTTAAGGGTATCGTGCGGCATAAGCCTCGTTTTCCGAAACACAACGCTGCAGCTGAGCGGGACGCTTGAAAACTGAAAATGCGTCTTAGGGTAGTGTAATAATTGCATTTTCCCCAAGCACAAATGAGGAATACTTTAGACTTGCAAACATGTATTTGTAAAAGATGGTTGCAGCATTCTGTGGCATAAGCTGAAAACGAAGCCATCAGCTAATTATGAGTACTGCGGTGCAACCTTAGGCTGAAGAATTTTGAGACGCCCTGTACTTGTCAGGCAATCCATGACTTTAAAAATTTGAATTGCAACTTAGTTTTCAACGCCGAAAGCCGACTCGTTTGACGCGCACTTCGAAAGGTCCTCACATCGAACCGGCTCGTCCTGTGCATGAACCTACTTACTGATACCGTATGTTGTGTGAAATTGTACCTCGCAACCTTGACTGCAACTCCGTTATGAATTTTGTGAAAGGCAGGTACAGGCACACGCACAAAAAGACAGACTTAGCTCTCTACTATCAAATGTTGATATTTGATTTTGGCTGATGGTGGCGATTAACTGGTTGTTGGATTTACAGTTTGTTGAAGAATGGGTGGTAATGTGCCATATACAGGGTGTACCAAAAAGATGTAATTAACGTTTGATCCTCAATTAATTTTTTTGTCGTGAAGTCTTTGGAAAAGCCTAAGGTAATTTTGTAGAGCTGGTTTTAACTTAGCTTTATATGTAGTATGGAGCAAATCACCGATCGCTCTTCATACTGTAGGATTAAGACAGGAACTTCCAGAATATAATGCCAGTGTGGAAAGCTGCCATTTCAAAATTTCAAAAAGACTCTAAAAACTTGTGTAGTATGGTTTTCATAAACACGAGCTTGATGCTCAATTTTGTACATAATTGTGAAGCTTTTCGGCAAATAATTAGGTTACTTAGGAACGTTGGAAAATGGCTGCTATTGCTTATCTGACATAATTTTTTAACGAAGCATTATACTAGGATGCATATTTCGTATTTAAAATTTCTAATCAATCTAATGTGATTTCTAATGTGAAGAATTTTTAGCTTGTTTTGTCTCCATTCTGTAGTCAAAATATGGCTCTCCATAAATTTCTTCTATTTACATGAACTTTCCAAAAAACGAAGTAGTTTGACTGCGTAAACAAATCTCTTTGAGTGACATTATAATTTATTGTATCAAAGTACTGTCGAACCAACTGTAAAGAAATCGTAAATTCTTTCTGCAACGTTGGTCTTGCATAGTTTGTGGTAATTGTTAAAGTGTGGATTTAGTACTTGTACTTTTGATGGATTTTGGCACGCCTTAGTAAGCCCTCATTACATGAGTAAAAAAAAGGAGATTTACTGAAGTTTGATAATTTTGAACAGGCTTGGAAAATAAATGTTTATAAACACATATGTCTGTGTGTTTCGGGTGTAAGTACGCTTCTAGAAAACTCTACTTCTGAATCGATCTTGACAAAGTTTTGCGCATACTCTTGGAGGTGGTGCGGGTGTCGTAACCTACTTTTATTATTATTAGTTTCTAGAATTATCGATCACTTTTACCTCATCGATCTCTTGCAGATTAAAGTTGGCTGGGAGTTGCACAAGCGGGGGGGGGGGGGGAGGAGTAAGTGAGCACGCTGATTTACAATGACTATTTCTCAAAATACTCTCAACTTTATCAATTTTATCGTTTTTTTCAAGGAGATAAGTGAGCAACTGATCACAAAAACATAAAGGGGGCAGGGAACTGGCATATAAATAGAAGTGGGACAGGGAGATTGTACAAAACTAAAGCATGATGGTATGTAGCACAGCACGGCCCGGACGGAACTGGACCTCGGCTAGTATGCAAAAACTCCAAAAGGGTCACTGGCATAGGTTCTTACCCATTCTTTCTAACTGAGTAAAGTTTGTGGCTATTCCATGTTCTCTAGATTAAAATTTTGAGGAAAATCCAAAAACTTGATTTGTCGTTGTATATGCTGCTTTCTAAGGCTTCGGGCGGACTTCACGCGATTTGATCGTCGCGACTGAATCGCGACAAGACAACTGTTACAACATCATTCCGTGCCGATCAACTTGCATTTCGGTTGTGATACTTTTTCAGCCCGAAATTTTTGAATGTGAAATGAAAATGAATGGAAATGTCGGCGATTGAATCGCGACGATTAAACGCGTGAAGTCTGTCTGGGGCCTAACACATAATTTTTTAGAGGAGAGCCTTAGAGAGGGCAACTAGCACAGTTAGAAAATTCATGCTACTGGCTGTTTTGCAATTTACCTAGTATCTTCTATATATTCGGGTCTGGGTTGCCACTCAGGCCTTGAGTGACCCTTTCTTCCTTTTTTGTCCGTGCAACCGGATAATTATTTGAACGCAGCTACAGTGCCATCAAAAAGTGCATCACTCTTCCAAAAAAGACAATGTCGGGCCAAACCATCATAACAGGAGGAAGTTACGATATTCAAAAATGTGGCACAGATCTTTCAGTTCAACCAAAAATGTGTTCGTTTTACAGAGTTATGCAAAAAAAAAATCCTTGCAAACTCGACCAGCATAGTACTTTCATTGCAGTTATCCCGGCCCTCTGTTTCAACCTGTAGTTATCGACAGGTTTGAGGCAAATTTGTGGATGAATGCTAACCCTCTCATCCTTGGATATGCAATTGTATTGGTAAGCTTCCGGTTGTGTCTGCAATTTGAACCAAACGTTGACAATCCAGATAGATGGTCGCGGTTCCACTGGCAGAGGTTGGAAATATCGCAGTGCATTTTATGGCGCCCTAGGCACGGTTGAGATTGACGATCAGATAGATGGCATACGGTAGACTAAGCGTGGGCTTTTGAGTCATTGAAGCGTTTTTTTTTTCAGAAAAGTTCTTGCCAAATATCCATTTTTGGATAAAAATCGGCTTACTGTTTCGGGTTGGTCCTATGGTGGTTACGCATCTGCATTAATGGCAGAACGAGCTCCTCCGGGTTTCTTCAAATGCGTCATTTCTGTTGCTCCTGTAGCAAACTTTCTCTATTATCGTAATTACCTTAATATTGGTTTCTTTTGTGGTGTTACTTACATGTTTTGCAATGTTACTTACAGAAACTAGTTACTCTGATCAATATATGGGAGATGCAGATGTCTCTGCTTACTATGCTGGTGATATCACTAACAACGTTACAAATTTCAAGAAAACTCGTTTATTACTGGTACACGGCATGCGTGACGGTTAGTTCACTTTGCGGAGTTTAATACACATCAAAACTAAGGTTTTGCAAGAATAAAAAACTAGGTAAACTCTTTCAGATAATGTTCACTTTCAAAACAGTGCCCTCTTTATTAAAGCTTTACAAGATAATGGTGTTGATTTCGACCTCATGGTGAGTTACTTGAAAGCTCGCAGTAAGAAATAGAAGTACTTTTCAGTTGTACCCAAATGGTGACCATTATTTGTCTCAAGGACTGTCTCACTTTCTCAAGAAACACGAATTATTTCTGACTAGTTGTGCCGGGCATGACTAACAGCGTTTTGCTTAAATACATCTTTTGTCATCAATGTATTCCGTAGTATTTATCAAGTGTTAAGAGCTAAAAAAGGGATTCTGAAAAGGTCGTTAAATTGGCAACTAAGCTTGAAGCTAATCTATAACTTCTTCGCAAAAAAGGAGCACTGCTGTTTGAAAATATATCTATTACGTCGTGGTTTATAAATGTGCGCATTGAATTCGATTTTCGGGGCTCAAAAAAAAGTACGCACTGTTACACTAAGAAATACTGGAATGATTTGCGGTGAGAAAAGACACGATTTATATAATATTTGATTGGCTTTATGAGATCGAATCGAATTGCGAACGACTTCTTTTTCGGACTCAGTAAAATCTAGAATCCAATCTGTTCTCGAGAATCGTGAGCGTTTCCCCTTTGCTGCCATAATGGAAACACAGTATGATACTTTTTTTATCGTTTCATGACCTGCATAATGTCGAAAAAGTGTGACAAATTCAATAAAGTTGGAAAAAATATTAAGTATAGGAAAAGGTTCACGATCAGTGGCAAAACATGTCATTCTGATGTAAAACATATAATATGTCGTGAACTACAAATGTGCGCACTGCGTTCGGTTTTGGATGGGCTATGAAATATGTGGCGCTTATTGTTCGTCCAATTATTTGTTCCTAATCAAAGAAACCTTGTTGAATTAGTACGTTCGTTGGGCGCATCACATTGAATGCATTAATTAAGTAATTAAACAAATCATTCGCATGAGAAGATCATAATATGATAAAATGTTAATTAGTTACTACTGGTCAAAAATTACTTTACAAAAGCGAGGTTTCCAAACTCCTAAAGTTTTGCCATCATAAGCGAAATAGTAATAGAGGATTACTAGTTGAATCCCGGAAGTACTAAACCAATTCCGAAGTTTTTTCCTGATTTTTCTGATTAGTGACAGTCGATCAATACGCGCCATTCAACCGTATCCCACTTCGAATAATTTAAAATTCAAAAAAAATTTGGAAGATTTGAATTCCAATCGTTCGAATGAATAATGTCTATAGAATACCTAACGATGACCTAATTTCATATGGATTATAAATGTTTTGGTTGGCCTTCTTACCCTCTCACGACTGCTAGTCTACATATGTTATGCTTCTTCCAACAACGAAAAGTCTAGAATGCAGACTTTTCAACACTGTCTGTGCATTACGTTATTGATTAACCCTGCACTCAATCTCCTCCGTTTTCACGATCATCTTGATTTTGTTAAACGCCCAGCACTGGGTGCCTGCTTTGGATAATTTTCGATTGTGTCTTACCATAAGTGAAAGTTGTGCTTCCTTTCAACGCTCAGAATTGGGGTCAGCATACACTTTAGTCAGTAATGAAAATCAATTTTGCCTTTTTTACGAAACTTTGAATCAGAAGGATTTTGGCCTTCGAACAAAGTTCGAAAACCTTGAATACTGAGGACTGATATTGTTTAAAATTTAAAAGCTTTGTTGGAAATCGGGTTTTAAATGAGGAAAGGTCGCACTAACTTGATGCCAAGTATTTAAGCTAATTCACTTTTTAGAGACGAACTTAATGCACACATACTTTTGCTTTCCCGTCCAAAGGTGAATTTGTGAAAGAACTCATCTTCTGGCGGCTCAGAAAATGAGTTTAGCATAGTGTCGAATTTGAATCGTTTGCTATTTGCTATGTCTTTACTTTGTTGATTCTGAAGAAGTTAGGGTGCTTCATTCCCTGTCCTTTTACTTCAGTGACATACGCAAAGTGTAATGTGTTTACTATGCATTTCCCGGTCAACTTCTGTGTAGAGATTTTCGCACCATAGAGAAACGAAAAATCGAGGTAGGCAGCGTTCCCTCAAAATGACAGGTACAGGGGTTTTACAGTTTCTAATAATAGACCCTCCAGATAGTCCAGTAAAGTCTAGAGCGCAGCTGATGCTGGTAAATGGCGTATTGAGCATTAAGTGGTACCGAAAGGAGAGTAGTAAAAATATCATATTACATGCGCAGTCAGCACATCCTGCCGCTGTTAAACGTGCCGTCATTCGAAATATGTTAAAAACGGCAACGAACATCTGCAGCCGTAAAAGCGAAAGACTAGAATCAGTGAAATTGGCAACCGAAATCATGATATCGAACAGCTATGAGGCACGACCCAGACGAACAAGAACAATACCAGCAAAAGCCGGCAAGCAGAACTCACATAAAATACCTCTGTGCTTGCCTCTTATGTCTGAGAGGTTACTATCGCTGTAAAACAAAGCATTAAAGGCAGCGTCCAGGCAAATTCGACTTCTATATTTTAATTTTATCCAGGCCTCTCCATGGCGCTGATTCCGAATATGGAACTCAAAAAGGGTGAACTTCTTAGAAAACCACCTTTTGGGGCTATTCTGGGAAAACCCGGACGAGTGCTTCTGATGTTATCCTTGTCGAAAGCAAGTATTTTTCCAAAGGGACATATTACGCAATTTGACGTTGAGCAAATATTGTCATATGCGCGATTGCGAATTAGCTATTTCTTAAGATTGGGAGGAGAAATTTCTACAATCCGTGCATAGTCTTGCAAGAATGCTTGATGTAAACTCATCCTAACAGCTTTGCTAAAGTCGTCCGCTACGAAAGGTATACAAAAGGAGATTTTTTGGGTGCCCGTCTCGTACGGTGTGCATCTAGTCACGGGTGATTGCCTCAGTGACTCTGCGCCTCAGCCTGGTGGGGACCGTCGAATTTCAAATTGTAAGTCTCTGGAACACGCATGGTCGCATGTTCTCGCCGCTTTCGCGCCTTCTAATGTGGATTTTTGGATTCAGCTTGCGGATAACCCCGATAAGTGGATTTTCTAAAAATCGAGTTTTTGCCAGGACACTGCCTTTGAGTTGTGACAAAATGCCTCTAATCAACCCATTCATTTCTTCAGAAGTGTCATGACAACTTATTAGGTCTTTCTCTGCTACTCTTACTACAAACAGTGAAACGCGCAATTGAAACCTTGGATTTGGATTCTTGCGGGTCGAAGATAGAGTTCGATCTAATAATCCTTCTATATAAAGCTAATGTCTGTTTGTATGTCTGTCTGTGTGTCGTATGTGCGTATGTTCCGAATAGAAATTTGTTTGTGAACCGATCCGGAATAAAGTTGGCACACATACACATCGGGCCCCGGCGGGTGTCATAGGCTACTTTTCGTTATCGATAGACATCGATTTTATCGATTTTTTTGCAAAGTTTGAGCTACGGGGCTGGGAATTTGCACAGGGGGGGGGGGGGTAATCGAGCACGCTGACTACAAAATCAATATTTGTTTTTGAAATCATTCATTACTTTTATCGATTTTATTGTTGTTGTTTTTTTTGCAGAGTTTGAGCGACGGGGCTGGGGGCTGTTGAGGGAGGAGGTGAGCATGCTGATTACTAATGCAGCGGGAATAGGGAATTGCATGTAGAAGTGTGCACAAAGAAAGGCTGTACAGGGATAAAGATGGGACTTTTAGAACAGTGTTTGACAGGGCCGGGCGGAGCCGGTAAGCCAGCTAGCGACTCATAAAAAGGCGTCAGGTATATAGGTGTATAAAGGTATATAAAGGTGTAAGGTGTAAGGTGTTAACGTGTTTCAGGTGTATAGACCGCGGGGAATTTTTTTGTGAAATTGACCAGCCCAAACATATCAAAGAACTTCGCAATTGACCTTATATTGCGTTGCATATTGCTTGAGAGAATCTTGCGGCATAAGAATCCCTTTTCGAGACACAGTGGGCCGCTGAACAGTTTGCTTGAAAATTCGAAATGTGCGGCTTATACACCTGAAGATAGGGTACTTTAAACACTTTCTTCCCTTCTCCATTATTGTATTCTGTGGCCGTGACAAATGTCAAGGTAAAAGAGTTGTTATCGTTAAGATTGAGTACATTTTTTGAAACACTTGATGGTTAAAGGGCAGCGGATTAACCACCTATGGTGTTATCAGAAAACGAAACGAGGAAAAAGAGATAGGAACCGTATTAGCCAGAAGAGATAACAAGTAATTAGAGGGGTCAAAGTTGAACATTCAAAGTACTGGTTCGGTTATAGAGCACAAGCCAATACGATATAAATCAGAAAATTTCTAGGTTTGTTATATTCCCAGCAAAAGTCACAAGGAAAACTATAGATTGAGATTCAAAAATGGTCTGCAGTAATTATTCTTTTTTAAGTAAATATACGAAAAATGGACAGAATTTTTTCTAATATAATGTCTGTAATTATGATGTTATAATTTGAAAATTACAGTTCGTTCCTATCCTTTCTAGAATTCAGAAAGAAAGAGTGGCGACTTTGATCTTTTTTGAACTAAAGTGGTCTTTGCTAACCCATGTCCTCTCTTCAGCTCGCATGCACCATCTCTGAAACACGCCTACTGACGCCTTTCTTTTCAAGCTGCCTATTCTAAGAATGATAAAGATGTCGAAAAGATGTGGTAGGATTTGATCCAACGGTACTCTCCTACTCAACGTTTGTTCAGAACAAATAATATTTAAATAAGATTTAGAATTGTCTCAAGAATTTTAGTTCATCAAAAATTCAAGTTTTTGCTATAGTGCCTAACGGGAGTAATGAGTCTCAATTTATCATTACGTTGTTTCCACTGATTTTCTGGAAAGATAATTTGAAGAAGCAGTGGGCTGCCGTAGATTTCAGGAATCATGAGGCTCAACCGCAAATCACGAAAAAATGCGTTTTTGCGACTCTTTTCTGTAAAGCATGATAGAATCATTGAATATGGTAAGCAGAGAAGAACATTTTCAGCGAAAATAAAGCGATTTTATAACAGAAGTGTGAAGGTTCCCAAATGAAGTATTGTGTATTCAAGTGAAGCGCAAGATCTACATGTTTTCACAGAAGTAAAGGGAACGCTTTGTGCCTTGCTGACAGTCTATTTTGCATTGCTGACAGAATGGAAAGCTGTTCAAGTAGATTGTATGTCTCCTTTTTGTAAAACCTTGGCATGTTTTGTAGATATTCTTCAATT